GCAGGCCTTGTGGAGGCGCCGGGGTCCAGCCGAAGCCAGCATGGCGGCCGAGCGCAAGACAAAGTTGTCCAAGAACCTGCTGCGCATGAAGGTACGGGGACACAGAGGAGCTAGGCCGGGAGGACAGGGCCACCCGGTCCTCCCGGCCTGGCCGCGGCCGAGGCAGTGGGCGTACGGGGGACACCAGAGAAGCCCCTGAGGGCCTCCACCTCGCTCTCACTCATTCATTTAGCGCCTGCTCTGCGTTAGGCACTGGGAGCCGGATTAGAAATCCGGCGGATTCTCTCATAGAGCCCGCGGTCGGGTGGGAGACACAGACGCGTAAGCAAGCAGTTAGGATACAGCGTACTACGTGCGGTGATGCTAGAAGCGCCGGTAGCCCGGGGAATTGAACGTGGGCTTCTGCCGGAAGTGGTTCTGAAGTAGAGACTGAAGGGTGGATGGGAGGGTGGGGAACATAACAGCATGAACGGAGGGAAGAGCGAGTTCAGAAGTCAGAGAAGGGGAAAAAACAAAAAAACCATGGTGACTTTTAAGAGCTAAAGAAAGTTCAGTATGTCCGGAAGGCAACTAAGCAAGAGATGGGCCTGGAAAAGTAGACAGGTCATTAACATTTAGGAAATTCTAGGCCAGATTAAAGAATTGTTTTCTCTACTTTGTGAGCATTGGGAAGCTATGGCGCACAGGGAACCGTATCAGCTGTGCCTCTTTTCAAGGTTACATTAACTGTCCTGTGAAGAAGACGTTGGTGACAGGAAAGACCCGACAGGACAAAACTGCAGTCAGAAGAAAGACCATCTAGAAGTTTAGGTGATCTGAGTGAGGATTATAGTGGCATTGCGATGGAATTATAGCAGTTCAGGCGAACGTGACTTAATGTCACCCAACTTTAAGTAAAATTGATTTTTATATTTCAAATTGAATCCATTTAACCAAATAATTTCAAAATGAAAAGAGGGAGAGAGAAGGGTAGATAAAATAAATACAAGAGTTAAAATAGGCAATGCAACCATTCCTTAAAACTTAAATAATAATAGCAAACATTTATAGTTCTTGCTATGTGCCACATACAGTTCTAAATGTTTTGCACATATCAACGCAAGAAATCCACATAATAACCCTCTGAGGTTGGGTGCAGTTATTATCCTTCTCTAACAGTCGAGGCAACTGAAACAGAAGTAAATTGCCCAAAGTTACTTACTGCTAATAAGAAGTGTAGACAAGACTCAGACACAAGCAGCCTGACACCAGAACCCCTTGCTCTTAACTACTACTGGTCGCTAAACTTGTAGATGTAAACTGTTAAATGTCATGTTTAGAGAATTGTGGAATTTCCAAGAAGAGGAGGAAGCGAGGCATGAATAATATTTTGAAAGATTGGGCAGTAAATATTGCATGTGCAAAATCTGAATGGAGTTGAGCTAAGGTGTAACTAGGGTTGGATAGGGTGAGGGTGGAGGGTAAATCATAACATAGTTTATTTAGTTTCCAAGGTACTTCTTTCATGCATATTAGCAAAATTTGAATCTTTTCTGAACAAAGTTTTCTCTTGGCTTATGGTTTGTAATCATGTAGATTTCAAATAAGTGGGGGTGGATTGACAAAGAAGACTCTGAAAAGATTTTAGCAGTTGTTTTAGCTCTTGGATAAGTCAAATGAGGCCATGCTGGGTGATTAGGGCTCAGACCAAAGACCTGACTTTGGAGTTAGGAATGAAGAAACTAACTTAAAATTATTCATCTCTTACGCAAGTGGTTCAGAGAAACTCAACTACACGTTGGAAGCAAAGGAAAGAGAAAAAAAATACCCAGGTTCTCTATTTGGGTTAACAGCTTCGGTCATTGACAAAAAAAAAGAACTTATTGAAAGGCCAGCAGGAGACACCATATATAGAGATAGAGTGGAGTGTTTTATGAGAAGGAATGGAGCAGCTGCCTGATGTTGCTGTATGCAGTATAGCTCTTCAGTCAGAGCTAAGTAAGGGCAAGAAAGAGAGAGTTAAGGATTTAATCTTGACTCAGTTGTTTTCCATTGTACTTGAAGCTCTCTGACTTGGGTCACCTATTGGGGGACTGGAGGTTGATCCTGATGGGAGGTAGAAAGTGAAGAATATACTAGGTGGAATGCCTGTCAGTATGATGCAATTGTAGAGAGGGTGCTTATTTGTGATTTTAGCTCTTTTGGACTCTTAAGACAGGAGTTGGTGAACTTTTCCTGTAAAGGGACAGGTAAATACTTGAGGCTTGTGGGCCAAACAGTCTCAGTTGCAACTACTCAACTCTACTGTTTTACCTCAGAACCAAATGAATGTGGCTTTGTTCCAATAAAACTTTATTTACAACAGAAGTCAAGCTTAAGGACAGCAGTTTGTGATGCCTACTGTAGATTCTCAGCTGTGAGTAAAGCTAAATCACTAGCTTTAGAGTGTGTTCTTCGATGCCGTGGAGTCAGAAGAATTGAATTTCTGTCTGAGTCTGGAGTTGCTTTATTTGTATTCACTGGGTGTTCTATCCTTTCCATTTGCATAGAAATATGTATGTGTATATATATTTCTGTACATATGTATATGGTTCTTTTGTATACCATAAAGAATGTCTACTTGACTGAAAACTAAGAGAAAAAAGGGCAGTTTGGCAAGATTGGTGAGTTTTACCACCACAAACATGAGTGATGAAATGAGGCATCTGGACTTAAAGAGAACCACCCAAGAAAGGGAACCTGGAAAAATAAGGCAAGTCTAGAATCAGTTACATTCAGAGAAGCTTTATTGAACTCTTCTCTGTGTACCAGGTGCAGCCTAAATACCAGTACTACAGGATGAACAAGAGACATGGTCTACATTCAGAATCTCAGCCTTTTGGGAGACAGAGAAGAAGCATAATGAACAATAAGGCAGTGTTTATAATAAGGCTGTTGTAGAAGCAAGGAAGGCTTACCAAAGGACACGTGTGCTCGGCCTTCACGAGTGAATATTTTGTCAGGCAGAAAATGGAAGCATAAAGTAGTAGCAGAGGCAGGACTGGGTATGCCACAAACTGCCAGTTCTTGCCTGTGGTGAGGATATAGCTACAACAAAGGTGAAGGAATGAGGACAGGTGAACAAACAGTGCAAAGCCAGGAAATTGACGGCAGTACCATCCATAGAGCTTACCCGGATTTCACCGTTTTACATACACTCCTTCATGTGTGTTTGTGAGTGTGTGATACTTCCATGCAATTTATTGTGTCTGTAGACTCATCCACCACCACATTCAAGATACAAAACTGTTCCATCACCATGGGTTCCCTCAAGCTACCCCTTTGGAGACACGCCCTTGTGTCATTCCTAACCCCTGGCAACTACTAATCTGTTCCCCATTTTTGTAATTTTGTTATTTCAAGGATGTTATATAAACAGAGTCATGCAATATGTAACCTTTGAGACTGGCTTTTTTTCACCCAGCATAATTCACTTGAGATCCATCTAAGCTGAGAATATGAGTAGTTCCTTTTTTGTTGTTGCTGAGTAGTATTCCATGCTGTGGATATACCACAGCTTATTTTAACCACTCACCTGTTGAAGAGTATTTTTGTTGTTTCCATTTTGGGGCTATTACAAATATAGCTGCTTTGAATATCTGTATATAAGTTTTTGATTGAACATAAGTTTTCATTTATTCCACAAGGGCAGTTGTTGGGTCCTATGATAAGTTCATGTTTAGTTGGGTAAGAAACTGTCGAGCTATTTTCCACAGAGGAGATTCAGCTTCCCCACATCAGCGTCAGAACTGGATATTATCACTTTATTTTATTTACGAGTGTTTTTCAAGTTTTTGTCATTTCATTTAGTAGTCATTGGTAAGGCCATGATGTCTAAAAATGATGGTGTTTTTGGAAGAGCTGGAATGGAGGGAAAAGTAATATGGAGCCTGGATGACAGAAAGAAATGAGGATCAATGGAAACCAGTGGAATCCTAGACCTAACTGCTGGGTGTTTTCTGAAATTTTTCCCATATTGATACTTTATAATTTTGCTGTGATTAACTTCTTGGTGTGTTCGCCTGTCCCTGGAAATAAAGCTATTGTTTGTGCTAGGACTGCTCTTTTCTTTACTGGCCTACTTTGAGTTGAGCTTCTACAAATTTTAAAATAAAGAACCCCCGTGTAGTTGGTCAGCATTTCAGAGGATGTAAGTGATGAGCAGGCTTACGGATGTAGCTTTACTCAATCTGCATTTATAGAGCCCTTACTACGCATCTTCATTATGCCAGTACTGATGAAGGAGACAACCCAGACGTAGTCCCTACCCGGAAGGTCTCCAGAAGGGACAGATGCTCAAGAAATTAAAATGTGGTGAGACGGTGTGAGGGTACCACAGGAAGCTTCTAGGAGAGAGATGCTGGTTTTGCCTGCAGCTATCAGGGACAGTTTCACAGAGATGGAGTAGCTTTACCTATATCAGTGACCAGGTAGAAGAGGGTGAGAAGGGTATTCCAGACCAACATCAGCAGATGCAAAGACTAGTGGGCTCTGTGGGCAGCAGAGAGATTCAGGAAATACTGAGCCTCTCCTCCTCTCTGCCCCTCACTTTTTCTCTCTACCTGCCTGTCCTGGTCTGTGGATCAGTCCTGTCTTAGTCCTTCCTCGCTTGCCATTATGGAAAACCGGCCACACATACTTAGTGTGATACTTAATTGAGTACAGTTTTTTTGGTGCCTGTTTTATTAAATCAGAAAAACTAAAAACCATGGTAAAGATCTTTTTGAAGTCTTCTAAAGGAAGTACACATGCTCTGGCAAGCTCCCAGCTAGCCTAATGTGACCTTGTCAAGGGCAGAGCTAAGCTGCTTGATCACGCTCCCCTCACCCTCAATCATGCGATGGGTTTCCTGGAGAAATGAGGAAAAGCAAGTGGAAGGATAAAATCATTTGAGTTTTCTTTAACTCTTAAGTTGGGAAAATGAATTGCTCACGCTGATTTTATCTTGTTTTGACAGTTCATGCAGAGGGGACTGGATTCGGAAACCAAGAAACAACTAGAAGAGGAAGAAAAGAAAATCATTAGCGAAGAGCACTGGTACTTGGATTTGCCAGAGCTTAAAGAGAAGGAGTAGGTTCATTAGAAATTATTTTGATTACACTTTGGGCATTTCAGAGGGAAATCCCTGTAAATGTGGCTCATTCCAGTGCCTTAAAGCCCATGAAATAGCATCTGTTCAGTTTCTCGAGTTAACCTTACAACAAGTTTTCTTGAAATTATTAAACCTGTAAGAAGTCTACTTGGATTTATACATTTTTACTGGCCCTCAGCCATCATTTATAACATTGTTCTTTTTTTACATTGAATAAAGGAATCTAGCCCATATGTCTCTTGTAATAATAACTAGGGACCTTTATGCGAATCTTTAATGTACTCTATCATATTAAGTTCCAAAGATTAGGTGTGTACTTCAAGCCCCTACAGTTTTGTTTTGTTTCACTTTGACAGCTTTTTCTTAGGCAGAGCTTCTTAAAGGCAGGTCACGAGAGTTTTGTTCATTTTCTTTTTTTAAATGTTTGCTGTTAATACCAGTCATCTTAGCTAACATTTATTGCCTTTCTAGTGTGTGCTAGGAATTGGGCTAAGCACTAAGCATCTTAATTATTTATCCTCATAGCAAACTTGAGAGCTGGCTACTATACTTCACCCATTTCGCAGTTGAGGAAACAGAAGCTTTAGGAGAATAACTTGCTCAATCACCCAGCTCAGTCACCCTAGCTAAGGCTGGGGTAATGCACTAGATCATTTTTCTTTTGCCTCTAAGCTTGGTTGGTACTTGAGAAATAATTCTGAATAAAGAAGTGGTGGGTGTATTCACTTCATCCATTAATTTACCTAAATTCTTCCTGGAAGCTACGTATCATTTCTCCTCGATGCTTTTCTTACTATAGTAAGCTCTGGGGTGTGGTGGTCTTACTAAACTTAGTCAGATGACTGAAGATGCTGCTTATTAGCTTCAGGCACATTTATGTTTTCCCTTCTGTGCCTTATGTATTTTTTGTTTTTAGTATGTTATATTCCCTTTTTCATTTGGCTGATGTCTAGATCTTTTGGGGGAGGGTAGACAGAAGTATGTCGTACCAGGAGGGATGGAAAGAAAGGTACTTTGTTTTCTCTGCTTGCTTCTCTTTGTACTTGCTTTTTTTTACTGCTTCTCCGAGGAAGGAAGATGTTGGTGAGGAAGGGGAAGATCACGCCAGAGGTGGTATGGATTTGGGAGTGGGGCAGGTGTAGAAAGGAACCATTACTGGTAAGGAGCTATAATTTAATTTTATGCCTTGACTCAACTAGCACAAAGTATCTCAGATATTTCGTTGCTTTTATTGATGGGCAGGATGATTTTTATCTTGTTTTCAGTATTCCCCCACCCCAACACAGCATATTAATTCCCAGAACAGTGACATTTCGATTCCTTTCCTAGGTAAATGCCTCAGTTCTTTTGGGCTACTGGAATCAAATACCACTGCCTGGGTACCTTATACACAACAGAAATGTATTCCTCACAGTTTTAGAGGCTGGAAGTCCAAGATCACGAGAACGTGCGCCTGAATTTAGATTCCCTCAGGAAGAGACAGTCCTGCAGGAAGCGTGGTGCTAGCTGCGCTAGATAGGGCCTGTGAGAGAGGACCCTACAGAACAGGAGTTCTCAAGGACCATTTACATTAGGGCCTGTGAGAGAGGACCCTACAGAACAGTAGTTCTCAAGGACCGTTTACATTTTTAAAAATTACTTAGAAGCCATAAAAAGCTTTTCTTTGTGCCATGTCGATATTTACTATGTAAGAAATTAAAACATTTTTTAAAACACTCATTTAAGAAACAGTTGCATTACTTAGCATAAATAACTCATTTTGCTTGAAAAATAACTTTTCCAAAACAACAAAAATCAGGGCATTGTGTTACATTTTAGCAAATCTCTTTAATGTCTGGCATACTAGAAGACAGCTGGATTGTTTGAATTCCTACATTTAGCCTATTGTAGCATGTCCTTTTCGTTGACATATATAAAGTCCACCCTCACTCAGATGATGTAGTCAAAAAGGGAGGGGTGTTATAATAGCTTTTTCAGATAATTCTTTGAGGCTACTCCAAACCTCAGTAAGTAGTAGTTTCTTAACAGTTAACTGATGTGTGGAATCTGAAAACACTGAACTTTTCATAATCATTGGTCTATCTTACATTTTGAATAGATCTTTTGTCCATGCATAATTTCATAACATCATGTATTTTCTTACTTGGAGTATATTAGTTTAATGAGGTATATGGATTTCCCAAGTAACTCATTTCATTGTACAGTATCAAAATTCACATTCATTAATATCACCATGGGCTTCATCAGAAAAGTCTTTAAGTATTGGGAAGCTGTCAAGCCCAAAATGACATATACAAGCTATTCAAAATTCTAATTTTTGCTTGAAAGCTTGAATTTTGTTATTGGCAACAAGTATTGTCAGTTGTTTCCCTTGAGGTGACAAGTTTACTTTATTCATTTTCAAGAAAACATCTGCCAAATACCCAAGTCTGAATAAGCATACTTACAGTGTACCAAGAAAAAAGTAGCTAGTTTAACTCGCAACTTGATCATACAAGTGTATTTTCTCAAGACATTTTGTGTAGAGAATATTTTATGAAGTGTAATCAAGGGCCGAGATTAATAACAAATTTTTACTGCTTAATCAAGCACATAATTATTGGCTTTTTTTAAAAACTGAAAGTCAACAGTGAACAATGCAATGACTGCTGCTACAGTCTGGAATCACTACGTTAATTCATACTAAGATGGGATTTTGCCCATAATCACTTTTGCACACACTGTACAAATGTCAACATGGTGAAAAAGATGACATCTTAGTGTTATCATGAAAGTAATTTTGACCTCCTAGCATTATTACCTTCTCTCACTCCTTTCCAGTCATAGGCCGCCTTTAGTGTAGACATTCTGTTTCTCAGCCTACTTACATTCCCCTTGCACAGCCTTTACTACTAACTAGTCCCTCAGGTGGTCTTCTCCTAGGTATGCTCATATCTTCTTCCTCACTGTCTTCTAGACTTTGCTCAAATGTCACCCCATCCAAGAGCCCTGCCTGCCCAGACCAAGGACAAATTCTTTAGATAAAAAGAGCTTGGATGAGTTGGATAGAATTCTGTTCGCATGTCTCTTGGTTAAAGTCTGAATTGCTGGATCATCAGGTTGGCGTATATTTAACTTGATGAGAAGTTTTCAGACCAGTTTCCAAAGTGATTGTACCATTTTACACTTTCACTAAGGAAATTTCCAGTTTTCGGTGTTAATCTTTTTTATTTTACCTATTTTAACACCCAAAATTGGAAATTTCCTTAGTGAAAATGTAAAATGGTACAATCACTTTGGAAGCTAGTGGTATCTCATTACAGGTTTTAATTTGAATTTTCCTCGTGACTAATAATGTTAAAGAATGCATATGTGCTTATTAGCCATTTCCATTATCTACCTTTGTGAAGTTCCTGTTCTTATCTTTCATTTTTTTAAAAATGATGTGGTTTTGTCTTTTTTTCTAACATTCTGTATCACATATTTTTCCACTCCTCTTTACATCTGTCATCATTTTATTTTTTATGTATTTCACTGTAAATAGCAGACATCAGTACATTTTTATCCCTTAACTAGAGTTCAGTGTTTATAAAGAGTTTTTATTTTCCTCTTAAAATAGAACTTACGTACTTCTATACAGATAGGAGTTCTTATATTCTGAATACAAATCCTTTGCCAGATATAAGTATTGTGAATATTTTCTCCCAGTCTGTGACTTGCCTCTTTATTTTCTGTCTTCTTTTGATGAGCAGTTATTCTTAATTTTTTTCCTTTTATACAGTTAGTTCTTTCTAGATCCTGTTTAGTGAATCTTTGCCTGTACCAAGGTTGCAAATATATTCTCTGTGTTTTTGTCTAAAATTTTGTAATATTAGCTTTTATATATATATATATATATATATATATAT